TCCTTATTATGTGCTGGAAAGAGCTAAGAAAGCATAAACTAGCATGAGCATCATTATCCCCAGATTGGTGGCAAGAACGACTACACATCCTGCCTAGTACAGCCTTCAAGGGCCAGGGTCGCGTCTCGTCATGGACCTCTGTCTGTCTCGAGGAAAGGTGAAACGAGGGCACACGGTCAGAAAGCTTGGTCCTTTGCACACAGGGACTGCACTGCCTCTGTCGGTGACATTTTGCGTGCAGATGTCCCCATTGGTTATACGACTCCTCGTTGCTCACAAATTACCGACGTAGTAGGTGCTTACATGCACCTCCTGGCAGTGACCGTGTGACAGTCGCCCTCGTCTATTAGAGTATTCCTGGTAAGGCTTGGAGGGGTGACTCCAAGGCATCTCGTCCGTCGCATCAACGGGTTCGACCGAAAAACTCGGTCCAAGTCGCTGCCCTCATAGGGCTCAGGGTCCCCGAAGTCCACGGAGGTGCTGTAGAGCGAGCGATCATCAGGGGCAGGTGGCTGGTGATCACAAATCCAGGCCTCCGTTTACAAATCAATCGCCCTGATCTCTCAGCATGTATCCATACCAACGACGGAGTTAGGGATATATCCAGTGCACCACCACAGTGGGTCAATCCCGGCGGGATTTGATCTTGAGGGGGGGTGTCAAGCATCCATCGTCTGTCTGTTCCCCATCCACAAGTTCACATTCACGTTGCTCTATAATTCGGTCGCCCAAAAGTTTTTGTTTTTCTCGGGTGCAGGTAAGCATTTGTGATCCCTCCGCCCTTCAAGTCATTTCCGCTGTGACGAATTACAAATCAGGACGCCCGCCTCCCAACTCAATTTGAGTCCCTGCTAACTGGGTAGCTGGCACAAGCGACCACTCCATTCCGCACGCACGGCGACACCTAAAACCACATGGGACGCCGTCCTCCATCTTTTTAGAGAAGGAGGCTTGCAGATACAGCTGGTCGGGACCCTGAGAGGCCCTGATGCCTGAACCCTGTTTTGTCCATGAGACAAGTCATCTATCGGCCAGCCTTACCATCTCGCGAGTTCGTAGAGCGAGGAGGGCAGCTCTGCGGGCGCCCAAACTCTAGCAGTCGCGAGATGGCTTTATTATGCTGATCGACGGCCGTGCAAAGGAACATGTCGAATCGGGTATTCACCTTGACGATGTAGACTGACATGTTTTAGCTTTTTTTTGGCGGGGAGCGGGCCTGCAAGCTCCTAGTCCTGATCCTAACACCGTTCTGACACCCGGACTTGAGTAAGAGCCGAGTCCGAGTCGGGATTTTATGGCAGTCATCGATCAATTGTCCAGGGACTAAGGGACCTGCACCTAAGGGACCAGATACGCTCCGTTTGGGCAATCCGTGAGCCCGTCCAACAGAGACCTGTGTGGTTGTGCCGTAGTGTGGTGCTGTCCCCGTGCAAAGTGCCGTCATACTGGAAGGTCCCGAGGATCGGGAAACGGTCATGCATATTCCCTCCCCTTTCCCCAGTGTATGCCAAACATAATGCTGACGGTGTCACCGAACGCCATTCTATTTGGGTTCACTGACCAGAGTCAAAACGAACAAGGTGCAGCCAGGTCGCTCCCCGGGCAAGTCGACAAGTCGTACACGTTGGAAACATCGACATGAGGGATCCCTGTATCTCGGCTGCCAAAAACAAAGGGAACAGGGCAGGGCCACCGCACGCTACGAAGCTGGTTGATCACGATCTTCTAATTCTGACCGTGCATGGGCCAATTCTTCGCCAGGATGAGTCAACATGGGCCACAACCCTCAAATCGAAGCTTCAGTATTTTCTCTCGTCCTATGTTGTCCCATAGGCGCCACTTAGCTGCTGATAGCAACCGGACCCTAACAAAATGTGTCCGGGACTTTACCCACAAGGCATCGGGCGTGAGCCACATGCACAAGCGGATGGAGGGAGTCTCGGAGTGAATTCACTGTGATTGGGCTTTTGTCAGCGGGAATCATGGAATTGGCATCCACCACTCTGAAATCCCCATAACACTAATTGTATGGAACCATGTAGTGTGTATGGAGAACATACATAGTGTGTGTGAATACGCCCAATGCAAAGGCAGCAGAGCCTTTCTTGCTGGCCGCTTCTTGAAGCCCACGCCCCTACATCCACATCTCCTATGTAGTATCCGCCCTGACAAAGAAAGGCGGGATTCCGCTTCAGGTTGCACAACTTCTGCATCTCCAAATGCCCTGCCATTTATAATCAGCAAGCCATACATACGGCTGTGCGCCTGCAGAGAACTTCTCGAAGCGGGCGTATGGCGTATGAGTGGCTCTTACTTCTTTCCCTTCCCCTTCCCCAACTTACCTTTCCCTTACCTTTCCCTTTCGTACCAGTCCAGATCACCTAGCTAGTGTGCGTATTGTAATAACTCCGAACGAGGCAGTTTGTCAGCGGAATTACGGCAGTTTGCCTACTCCACCGGCTGTTTGGTTGCATTTCGTCTGGCCATCCACAGCAATTAGGTCGCTGCGGCCCGGCAAGTCGCATCAACCTCATGACCAGGGATGATGGATAAGCGGCTCTCGTCCTTGAGGGAGGGGGCCACCATATGCAGTAGGGTAGCTACGGGCGCACAACTCTCGCACGAGAACGATATATCCCCGCCGAGTCCAGCCGGGTTTAACCAAACTCCCTCGGTGGTCAGTAGGGCTGGATGACGTTTCTGCACCTTCTTGGGCGATCGCAGTGCCGATTCCGCTCGGCATATGAGTCGTTTTTTTTTTTCCTCTGTCGAGGTTGAGACGACGAGTCCCACCCTGCAATGTAGGTACTATGGAGATGCCATGCACTTCGCAGCAGACACAGCATATACCTGCGCAGGGCATGGGTTTGTGTAGCACAGTCCGTTGCGAGGAGGACCCCTTGGAAGGACGGCTGGTTCCGAAGTGGACTTGGGACCCGAATGACGCACCCCGTTCCTTGATTGATTTCCCACGTGTCTCCGCCGAAGCGGATTTCAGCTGGGAGGCGAAAAAAAAAGAGAGAGATCACAGAACAGAGCTTCGATAGACTTTCTAGAAGACCTGCTATCTGCAGCCGGATCGCTTCCGGTGCTGCAGCGTCCCAACGACCATCAGCCACCTCCGTCCATCGTATGAGCAACGGTGGCTGCGGTCTCGCTCTCGGTTTCCGGCACTTGCTTGGCCACCATTTTTCTCATCACGCACGAAGGGCGAGCTCACACCCGTTCATTCGAGCTTTGGTCACTGCCCGCTTTTTTTTTAAGCTGTTTAATTTTTTTTTTCCCTCACCGTCGTCACTCCCATTCATACTGCATGGTGGTTTTTGGATATTCGCTCTCGGGAATTTCTCGCTTTCCTCTGTAAACCCGTCTTATTCTCATTGGGCGGGCTGGAATGCAACACGTAAAATGCCGAAGGGGGGGTGCTGGAATGCCCGCATACAACTCAAGTCTGGTTGGCAGGGATCGCCCCTCGCGACTTCGAAACGTCCCGATGCCGCGTGCATGAAAATCTCTGGGTGACATGTTTTGGACCATCTCGCGCCGAGCCACAAGCAGGATTGGATTGATTATCGGCGCCGACCACGCTCCGTTTTTGACGAAATCGCCAGGGAAATGCCTCACGGGGAAGGGGAACACATGACAGCCTCATCTCATCTCAAAGGGGGCCCTGCCTCCTTCTGCCCTACTACGTCGTTTGGGGCCTTTGTACTGGTACCGCCCTCCCCCGTCTTCCTTTGGGATCACCAGGAGGCCACATGATAAAATTATCATCCTTGTTTGCGAGACAGACGGACAGACACACACACCCCCTTCCTGCTCCTTTACCCCTTCATCTCATCTGCCAGAAGCATCTTAGGATCTCACCGCGGTATCCGTGGACTTTCCGCGGGCGTATGACCGTCTAACCTCTTGGGCCAGCTTCATTTCCGTCTCGGGGTTTGCTTCGCAGTGGTCTTCCCAGCCCTCTTGTCCTTACGGGTCCGTCAAAATGCCGAGGCCGGTCCACTTGGAGAACCCTTATAAGCTATGAGAGCATGAGGTCTCGGCCGAGTCATTACGTAGTTCCTTACAGCTTCTTCGTAACTACGGCCATGTCAAAAACCCGTCGTAGTACGACCCACACGATACCAAGATACCAACGGGGCCGGGTCGGCTTCCCGTTGTGGGCTCAGCTCAGTCTATGAATCACGAGTCGCCATATTTCGCGTGTACGTGGAGATTTGAACAGAGTACTATTACTTCTCGCTACTTATCTGAAAGGGGCTCATTTGCATGAGCCAAATATGCTCATTTTGCTCTGCAGAAGCTAGAGTCAAAACCGGAACATCTCTTGGCGATTCGATGCCAAGTGCAAACAAGCCATGTTTTGGCGAGTCCACATGTGAATGCACACCCCATCCGCGGAGCTTCCATTACAACAAGGGGATGCCTGTGTAATCGGGCGTCATGCTCTCGTTGTTTATTTTCCCTCAATGATGCATTGACGCGGTCTCGTCGCTGCACGCAAACCTAAAGCTGCTCCTTGCGTTCCCTCGCTGGCCGCGGGCCTGTCCCTGCAAGACCAGCCAGACAGCTGTGATGCTGTTCGCTTTACGTCTGCAGAAAGAAACAGACGCCCAATAGAAGGGTCGGCCTTCATGCAACGGGACGGAGACCCGTATTCTATTGCCGAACTCCGAGTTAAGGCTGGCATGACCTGTTTGCTGTCTGCGATCAGACGGTTTCACGTGCTTCACGGCCCGCAAGCTTCCACCCGGGAAATTGTTGCAATTGGAGAATGGAGCCCCCAATTGAAAGATAGGGATATATACGTCGTTGAGACCGTAGATCTTTCAGCTCTCTCGTCCAACCTGCAGAAGAATCCCTGAGAGATACCGCGGTGGAGTTCTCATCAGCTCACGGAGCACGCATAGCGATCGGTTTCTAGCCGAGAATCGATGTCTTGCGGCCGCTACCCACTTGATACATCGAGAAGATAGTGGCCGAGCCTGTGACAGCTACACATCCGTGTACATGATAAAAGGGGGTGTGTTATAACCGCAGACTGCCCAGGCCCAGGCGGCGCTGGCATGGTAGGTGAGCAGAACGGCCCAGCCTTTGCCGTACGATGCTGGCGCGAAGAGTTCTGGATCGTGCCCTCTGACCTTCTCCACTGATTCCGTCGAGGCGAGCGCTAGAAAATGTTCTCGCCGGGCGTCACAAGGAAGTGCTCTGCATATCGACGACCCCCACATGCCGTGGTTAGCCTCACATATCCCATTACCTCGGGTCTGCAGCCCCCTTTTGAAAAGATTTTTTACTTACAACGCATTGCCAAACAGACCATGGCACAAGCTCGGCTCCTTGACCAGTATCCCGTGCCGCCAGATAAGCTCTCTTGCCTTCTCGATCGCGAAGTCAATGTCATCATGATGGTGTGGGAAGTAAGGCCTCAGGGCCTCGAGGGAATAAATGAACCCAGGGGCACCGTGGCACCACTGAAGGAGCTTTGCCGGCTTACCCTCCCTCCGCTTCTTCTCGCTTGACGGCCAGTTTCCATCTTGCAGCTGAAGTTTGAGGAGATCCTCCAATCGCGGTGCCAGTTCGGCCGCCAGGGATGGCACAGAGAGCACCAACTGCGTTATTATTCCGATCTCGCCATGGGCCGCTCCATAATATCTCTTGTTATGCCACTCCCAGTTGCCCCGACCATCGTCGTCGGTGTGCATGATGACTTCAGCGATGCGCAGGGTAAAAGACTCGAGGAACGGAGCAAACTCGGGAACCCATTGTTTGATCATACGGATGAGGTACAAAGTGCCGGCTCGCCCATAGATCATTTCAGACGGGAATGGGTCACCCTGCGAAGGTGGATACGGCCCTAGCAGGAGCGGCACGTCGCCCAGGAACCGCTTCAGGTGGCCCAAGTCCTTTGTAAAGCAGCAGAGGACGGCCTGGAACGAGAGTTTCTCGGAAGCCAGACCGCAATTTCCTCTTTCCAGGACGAGGCTTCCACGGTCCCCATCAAGGTAGCGTTCGGCCCAAAATCGGAGGTTGTGCCCCATCACGATCAGGTCGGGGTGGCCGGCTGAGAGCCGGAGGAAGAGGTAGGCCAGGCCGGTATAGCCGCTGAACAGACCCCCTAACTCTCGATTTGAGTATGATTTCTTGGGGGGTGTGGTTTTGAGAACTTGCTCAAGTGAGGCTTTCATGTTCTCCAAGGGAGACGAGGCTAGGAACTGGACCCGCATGTTGTTGGAAATATATCGTTGTTCCATGGTTTCCATTGTGAAAAGAGGAGAGCGGAGCTGTTCCTGTCTCTCTTCTCCGGTATTGTGGCCTCTTTTTTTTCGGTTGGTAAGATTGTTTGCCAGAAGTAGAGCTATGGCGACGGACGGTAGGCTGATTAAATTGGGGGGGCAAATGGCCAGGTACTTAAATCACGAACACAGTAAAGAGATATTGGCCGGAAGGAATGCCCCGTAACAACTTGGGTAGCGTCTGATTCCCATGCCAATGCTAACCACAAAGTTGAGACGGGGATCGACACCTCAGAGTAGATAAGTAGGCTAAGATAATGCTGCATCCAGGGACCAGTTTCATGATTCAAGCCACGGAATGGCCCAATGACACCAAGGCTGGACGTGGACGTTGACAATGGCGTCACTAAGATTGGGATTGGCTCTGATCCCGTGAGCCCCTGAGCTAGAGGATGCAAGTCAGAACAAGGAAGGGAGGCTCCCCCAGAGTCGAGGATGATCAAGACGATTACCGCACCGGTGTGGGGATGTTTGGTATGACCCGTCACCATGGATGGGTCAATCGGCGCCGGGTGGGGAACGAATCACCACTGTCACCGGGGTCCAAGACGGTGCTTACACCAAACTGCGTCGAACTATTGGATGCACGCGATGCGTGAGATCAGCAAGGCCTTTCGATGTGACGATGGAGTGATCCTTTGATTAGAGATGGTGCCTGCGTCCTCCTCGGCGCTGATGCTGAAGCTGAATCAGGGCAAGAGACCAAGACATGCTCCTTCCACCCGCAAGAAACGGTCCATGCGCACGGACCACAACCCAGTCAGGAGAGAGGTACGTACCGATGATGTCTTAGAGCTCGTCCAGACCAATGACGACATTGATACTGTTGATGCTGGTTTCGTCTCATCCTCCTCCCTAGCGATCTCGATCTAGCTGGTGAACTACACTTGGTGCCACCATCTCAGCCAGAGACCAGAAGATTATCAGTCACACGACAATCTCCTCATCAGCTTCTCACGCTCGCACACCTCGCCAATTCTCTTCCCAGTCATGGCGGACGCAGCTGAATCCTCTGGCCAAACCCCCAAAGGGAATCGGATCGTAGATTCCGTGCGAAATAATGCCCAGGATGTCATGTGAGCTCCCTAGCCACGTTCAGGATGAAACTGCTCAGTGCTGATCAGACCTCCACCTTCACAGAAAGGAGGACTATACCAAGGCTAAGACGCTCGCCTTCGAAGCTGCCAAGAGCAAGGCATGGCTCTACCCGCTCAAGGTGCGGATCCCCCAGCCTACCCAGCTGCTCTCTGTGAGAAGGCACCAGCAGCTGAACTGCCAGTTGACATGATGCACAGGGAATCGTCTATTTCGTTACCCATCGCTCGTTATGGAAACCATTTGTTTCACGATTACCCCAGTATTTTGCCCTCTATGGTAGCGTCCTAGCTGGCATGTTCACCTTTTCCTATCTCCCCCAGCTCGCGGTCCTTGTATTCGTGAACGGTCCTATCGCAGTGGTCAGCACCGTCCTCCTGGTCCTCAACGAAAGTACTACAATCGTCAACGGAATTTCTCGCAACTTTCTTCTGGAAGATGCCATTCTCGACACCTTCGACGGCACATTGCTCTCTCGAAACAAGGGAGAGATTGTGAAGGAAGGGAGAGAGATCAAATCCGGCAGTGATCCGATCCAGAAACTCGGAAAGGCATTGAAGAAACCTTTCGAAAGATTCGGTCCCAAGGCCATAATCCGATATTTCATGTATCTGCCCCTCAATTTCATCCCAATTGTTGGCACTGTCCTCTTCATCTTTCTTCAATCGAAAGGGAGAGGCCATCAAGTTCACAACCGGGTACACATTTCCACGCCTTCTTTATTCCCGAACGATTGGCTAACCTTCAGGTTCGAAGTACTTTCAACTAAAGAAGTGGTCTCCTTCGCAGAGGTCCCAGTGGCTAGGAAGGCATGTTGGGCCATACACTAGCTTCGGCTTGGTTGCCACACTGCTGGAAATGATCCCTGTGGCGTCCATGTTTTTCACATTTACCAACACTGGTAAGTCTCTATGCCTTCTCTAAAGCATTTGGGCACGGATATATGCTGATAATTTCCAGTCGGTGCTGCCTTATGGGCCGCTGACATCGAAGCGATGAACACCTCTATGACCGATGAAAACGCACCGACCATTCAAGGATCGGCAAATAAGTCTTCATGAATATGATAGCTATCAATCGAACGTTGTGAACAAAAAGGGTTGTTGGCATTCCTAGAATGCTGTTCAACGCGGAGAGATCTGGCTATCGGCTTTTCTCGCAAGGCGGCGTGTGCCTCATAAACTAGCCTTGAATTCACAGCTCCGGTCTAATTTGCTGATTGACGACCTTTTGTCTCCGGACAAAAAACCGCATGTCTCCCAACGGGGACCAGTCCATTGTTGAAAACGAGAAACAGAGAATAAAACGAAAAATTTAAGCCTTCCATTATATTTCTTCCAAGAAGTTGGCCATCCTTGTTGCCAGTGTGACTGTAAGAATGTGAACTCCACACGAAACACATCTCAGCCCCCTGGCGTACGAAAAGAAAAGCGCAACCCAGTCCAAGGTTGAACAAATGCCTGTCCTTAGACATCATCTTAGATATCCTCTACTATGCCTATATTCGTAGCCGGCCAGTTCGTCTACTGTCATACGAAATATAGCAATAATGCCTTTGGTTTGCTTTACCATTCAGAAGTCTCTTGCTGGCTTTTTAATCTAGCTCTCTTTAGTGCGGCACGACTTCATAGCCGTATATTATGTAGATACGCATATGAAACTTTTTCTGTGATAGTTTCATTGCAGAGTTTAAATAGCGCAACTCCTTCTCCTGTTTCTTGCCTGAATCTGGCTTGACACTATCGTAACCTTGAGCTGGGAGAAACTTGTGCCTCTGAACACAGGCCATGGCTCGCTTCAAAACGCGACTTTATCAAAATTGAGAACATAAACCCGTAAGGCAGACACCACAGACTTTTAGCAAAGGACATCCCATATACGACTTCAGTCGTTGAAGCGTCATCGGGGGGGGGATGGTTCTGTCCATGACCATACAATATGCTCATAGGCTGTGGATACTATTTTCGTATTCCCTTTGGCCATCGAAAGGTGATAGTTACTCGCAAATTATGATGGAAGACTGAAAATCTGAAAAATTGCGTCCGGTTTGGCAGTCGCCTATTAGTTCCTCTTTGTAAATCCCTTCCTTACACAGCCACGGCCACTTGAGGGAGGACTGGAAACCGTTTGTATCAGAGTTCATTTCTCACAAAATGGTTTCCCATGTGCCAGGTCTCCAATGCCTATACTCTCGGGAGCCGGGAAAGGCGCCGGCAGCCATCTGACTCTTGGCTCACCCTGTTGTCACAATTGGGTCTTCCGCCTTACCACATATATAATGAGGCCACAGGCAAGTTAGAGCTTTCGTAGCACTCTTTATTTTCATCGTGCCCTTACTTCTTTTGAGCCTTCGGCCTCGCAAGGTTCATTTCCTCTCAGCATCTCCTTAGCCATTCATTCACTCACCCACACTCGTTGACACACGACATTCCTTTAATCATCTTCTATCAGAAAATTCAACAATAAAACCTCAATTTCTGTCGCCAAAATTTTCAACCCAAGCTAGGATTCTTCGGTCCTAGATACCATGAAATCCCCTGCATTCATTCTCGGCTTTTGGCCGATTTTCTTCACCTTGTGTTGCGTTTGGGGGGCAGATGCGGCCCATCCCAGCACCGTGACAGATGTTCTAGATAATTCCACTCCGAAACTTGAACCCGAATACCGCCTCCATGCCGAACAGATCAACAGGGGTGAAGATGATGCTTCTATCAGCTACGGGTATCCTGATCCCTACGGCCCAATCACCTACGGATCTAATACATGTCAGTATCAGGCTTCCGTTCTTCCGTCATAGAATCATGCTCACCTACTATCAGATGCATCTTCCAGTAAAACCTCCGCAGAATTCGGTGCGAGTGTAGATTCCACTTCACCCTCGCAATCGGCTTCCTCGCTGCGTGGGACCGACAAGAGCCTCGAATTTTCGACCACCGGTCTAGAGACCGGTTCTATTACAAGCCCGTCAGCTCTTACCACCCCCATCAGCTCAGAACCTGCCAGTAACCAGGGCTCGGTCAATTCAAGAGAGTCTTCTTCGGACACTAAGGAGTCACTTTCCACTACTGACCGCTCGAACTCTGCTAGTAATATCTCCTCCGAAAGCTTTAGCCACGGAGCTGACACTTCCTCACCTTCGCCAACCACTTCAGCGTCTGAGAGCCTTCCTTCAAGTGGGTTCTCGTCTATGTTCCCAACAGGCAGTGTCACAAGTTCTGTTCCCTTGGGTACTATCTCAGCTTCAACAGCTACAGCGGAGGACACCAGCTTAGTTTCTTCTAGTACATCTTCGACACATTCTCAAGCAGGCTCAGATTCAGAACCAACCCCGATAGATAGTTTTCTATCATCAAAGACTGGTCCAACACTGTCAGACTCCAAAACCACAATAACCAGGACAACAAATGCCACGGTCGTATTCACCAACACGGCGACACAGCGAGGCCCTCAAACCGATTCAAGTGCGTCACCCAAATACACGTCGAACCAACTTCCCTTCGAGACTTCATCTCTTCATGCTGGCTCCACTTCGAATCAACTTCCCTTCGAAAGCGCATCGTCAATTGAAAACGGCACAAGCACTTCTATAAGAACAAGCACTCCAACAAAGGGCCTCGACACAGGAACCCCCTCAGATTGGTCATTCTCAGTGACACCGAGCACAGCTGGGTCTTCACCAATTGGGGATCGTACATCAAGCACCAATGTAGAACGCTCTGGTTCGTCTACATGGGGTAGTCTGATCAGTAACAGCGCGTGGCTCTCTTCAGCAGCAACACCCACTACTTCAGGGCTTGTACCGAGTCCAAGTCCCGAGCCCAACACCGGTACAGATCGAGATTCAAGCACAATGACAACAGACCAGAGCTTGGATAGTTCAGCTTCAGCCTCTACTCTTTGGCCTCCCCCATCTGGTAACTCCACTGCGACAGTCTGGTCGTCACCTTTCACTTCCCCTTCCTCGCCTGCTACTGGAGTGTTTGAATCAGAGACGATTTCTACCAATGGCACGACGGTAACTTCGATGTTGTCTGGTTCTGCAGCATCAGGTATCCTCACACCACCAAACTGGGCTCTGTTTACCACAACTGTTGTGATCGACGGCACCACTCTGACAACAATCGTTTCGCTCACTGGGGCAGTAAATGGTTCTACGGTTCCAACTTTAGGATCGTTATCTCCAACGTCAATGACCAACTTAAATACATCACCAACACGGACCACACCACCAACTAGAAGCCCAGAAAGCCCGTCACGGGCACTTTCCAGAATGACAGCCATCCTTGAGTCTCCGACATCCTTATCGGCTGAGTTAACTTCCCCTACAACTCCAGCACGATCATCCTCGCTCTCCACTCTCCAGACTAGGGTGTCGACTATTGAAACAGACACAGAATACATTTCTTCGGATTCTGCAACTCCGGGTTTGTCAATTACATTTAGGGCGGTCTCAACTCTGGCGAACACAACTACGAGCCCAATAGAATTATCAGCACCCCTTTGGCCAACAACAGGTACCCCCATTACAGGGCCACTTACAACCTCTCAGCTGCAGGATCCTACAAAAGCTCTTAGCTCTCCATCTATTGTTCCAAGCCTTGTATCCACATCTTCATTCAACTCTACCAGTCGTATGGTGAACGGCACGACAGACACAACCTCCACACCATATTCCTCTACCCTTCCATCAGTCAATGTGCCGACAGGCTCAGTCAACGGGTCTTGGACACTTACAACACCCGTCCCGTCAAGCGGCTCGCCCATTCAGCTGAGTACTAGCACAGGAGTTTTCACAAATAGCTCAGCGTCTCCCCAGAGTCAATCTCTTGATCCTACGTTTGCGTTTACGTTTACGCCAGATCCCATATCTGGGTCGAGTGATGGGGCGCCGCATTCGCCATCATCGACGAGTCAAATCTTCACATCTCTGAGAACCGAGAGCCAAATCGTTACAGGTGTCCCGGAACCCAGTCTCATCACATTGTCGACAATACCCTGGCGTACGACACGGGGCCGCGGTTCCGGGACTTCCAACAATCCAAGCAGTGAAGAGACGTCCCCAGCAACCTCGGGTCTAACTATTACGGTTTCGCTTCCAGGAAGCTGGTCGAGCAGCTTAGGGTCTCCCATACCTACCAGTGGATCTTCTGATTCCAGGCCCTCGGCGAGTGAAGATACCAATTCACCTCCAGCCTTCACTTCGCCAACTTTCATTACCCTATCCAGCCCCATAGGATCCTCGACGAGTGCAGATACTACTTCGTCTTCAGCCTTCAGTTCGCCAGTTTTCATTACTCTATCCAGCCCCATGGGATCCTCGACGAGTGCAGATGCCGCTTCGTCTCCAGCTTTCAGTTCGCCAATTTTCATTACTCTATCCAGCCCAATAGAATCCTCGGCGAGTACAGATACTACTTCATCTCCAGCCTTCAGTTCGCCAATTTTTATTACTCTATCCAGCCCAGTAGAATCCTCGTCATCAGGTGGCCCCGTTTCTCGAACAATTGTCAACACTCGCACGGCTTTGGAGACCTCAACTATCACAATGAAGGATCCTGCAACCAGCGAGGGCACAACCCCCAGAACGGTGCCAGGTGCCACAGAAACAAATCTTGCATCAATTCGTAATATATCCAGCTCATCGATCACTCCAGGAATTGACCTTACAACATTGACAGCTCTTTTATCACGTTCTGGGTCTTCAATTGGGGGACCCTTGAGCTCCTTGTCGGGAGTTTGGACCAATTCGAGCCGAGCCTCATCAGAGGGTTCATCCATCACAACCTTTGGGTTTCCCACTGGCCAGCCCACCCAGGCCCAAGACACTTCCAGTGCCTCGGATAGCAGCCTAGGATCTGAGACAACGTTCCTAACGATCGCTGTTCCCCCAACAAGCATTTCCCCGGGGCAGTCCTCCCCGTCGTTTACTGGGAGCGGCTCTATCTTCACAAACGCCGAGAGCGTGACAGCTGGAGTAACCTTCTCTGCACCCTCGCCATCTTCATGGTCAAGCTGGACTACTAAATCGGCATGCAATGGCTCCGAGGCTGGTTCAATGGTGAAATCTTCCACCCTTACCACAACATGGACAATCACGACGACCACCTTTTCAACGGGAACTGGGGACGTCCATTGCACGCATCTTGACAGCAGCAATAGCACAGTAGCTTGGTCAAATACGACATGTACGTCGACAACATCCAGTTGCGGTGGTATGTGAATTGCAATGACATCTTCACACGGGGAATACTTACTGACTAGGCTTTCTCACCACAGGTCTCACCCAGTCTCCTGGTCCAACCACGTTGAGGACCGTGACTACAATAGCAGAGTCGGGGAGCGAGAACCCAAATACCGTCTACGACCCCTTACCAACCGACAGAACAACCATCCCCCCGAAACAGAAGGATGAGCTTCCAAGTAACCCTGACTACCCTTGGGGCGGAAACTCGCCTATCCATCGTCACCAGATCATGGATGAACCCAAGGAGCACGCCACCAACTCCATTGGAGCTCGGTCCAAGATCAAGAATTGGCTCTGGGGGAGGTCGATCAAGAGGCTCAAGCCTCATTGGTTCGGGGCTCATCCGAATGATCAGGATGGAAGCGGGGAGTAAATCGCTTGGTTTGCCTCGCTGCAAGCATGTGTGCGTGTTCGATTTCTAATTGAGTTTGGTTGGGCTGGAAGGTGCTGGAACTGGGGATGGCCAGCCGCATCCATATGTCTCAACAACACGAGTTCGTTGTGAGCAACCTCATGTGTCTCAAACATGTTGCGAGTTAGGTACCTTAGCTTTTAGCACAGTTTCTGCACCTGTCAGATAATCGCAGTGCCGGCATAGCATTCAAGTCTGTTCCGAAAGCAGCCACAGAATAATTAATGCAAGGTCTGGAGGCCAAATCAAATCAGATTGTCTTATTCTTCAGGCTCACTTCATACTGATTATGGTCTCTGGCAGGATGTATCTTTTGAACCCTCCGACGGCTTATTCCATTTCAAACCTGGCCCTGGCCGTTTGAGCCAAGTGGACAATAAGCCGCCATGTTCCACTCTGACGGCATAGCGGCATTGCGTAGTGGGTATCCGCCTTTGTTTGTTAGTCTCCTACGCTGCGTGAGAGGAGAGGACCTGATGAGGATAAATGTTGATGCAAGTGGGAGGCGTGGTCGAGGTGATCGACTAAGCTTGGGGTTTTGGTTAGCAATCATTATCCGTCGTGGTCAACTCGAGAGAGGCTATTTTGAGGCTGTTAGAGGCTCAGGCATGTCATAATACTAGGATCGTTATTTGGTGTTTACCAATAGAGATGTCATCAGCTTTGTCGTCCATGCCGCTCATCTAAAATTGGGCTTTTCTTAACGCGGCTGTGAGTTAAGATCACATACGCATTGAGCGGGAAAAGGCCATCGAACAAAGAGCTTAATTGACCAGACCAGCGGAGTGTTGGCAGGGCTCAGATCCCATCTCAGTCCAATTGATGATACAGGGTAGCGCAATATACGCGCCGCCAACTTTGTCCGGAAAATAAATAGTTTGGAGACAATGATGGCATGGCTGAGCTGTCCCGCCTGTAATTGGTCCTGGGCGCTAAGTTGGATCAATGGCAGGGTCACAGATGGGTCACTGGAAGTAAATCTTTTACCGTATCTGTCGGTGAAAGTAAGTGGTGAGATTGTTCCCTGGGTCAGAGGGGCAGAAGCCGGGCATCCCTGACAGGGATGCGCGTCCCACCGATGAGGTAGGTGACGCTCTGCAATTGCTCTTCTGTATCAGCCAAATCTCCAGCGATCGCACAGCGCGATCCAGTGATTGGCGTTTGAAACCCGCTGGTCGTTTCCCGGGTGTTTCAGTAGGCAGAGAGAGCGGGGGATCTCAGCGCAACGGCTTCCATTAGGAAGCTGCCTGGAGGCGCTGTCTGCACTTCTAAACGGGAGACAGCGAAGAGATCTGTGCTGATGTTTGACATGATGTCCTGATACAGTATCGAGACGCGGTGCCCACTGATACGAATCCGAGGGCAAAAGATCCTGGCTGTCTAGGGTGGCCGACCGAAGAAGCCGAACACTCACGGGGCGGTCGGAGCTGGCTGCTGATCTGGGTGCAAGAATACCAACAGCACTGGTCAGCATGCCCAACACCGTGTCTTGGGAGGGGGAGATGGGATAGCCACAGCAGGTGTGTTTGCGTCGCGAGCAGAAAGGGGCTGCTGGAACTAAGAAAACACTATTGCCCTGAAGCCATCTGCAGTGACGAATGCAGACGATCAAGTCTCCATGGATTGGCTACTACTGGCTTTGTAGTCGCTGTACCTTAATTGACCCTGCCGGTTGCCGCTGGGTCCATCCGGTGATGGCCTGATATGCCAGGCCAAAACGATTACGTCGCCCTCTGATGCATCCAATACGAACACGGCAGCTCCCCTCTTCCTGTATCCGGAACCTCCACAACCGCCCAAGTCAGCGCCAGGACAAAGTCACTGTGCCTCGCCCCCCCAGCTACCCTTTTGGACCCTTCTTCTATGTATTGCATTCCTTCCTCCTCCACCTTGATCAACTCCTTTTGTCAATTTATTCATTCGTCCTCTCTTTTCCCATCTCTACCTTCTGTTTTCCATTTGTATCTAAGCTTAGGTACCACACACTCACCAAACAAACAAGCAAGCAGTCGTCCCCGCCATCATGTTGTTGAAGCAGTTGGCTCTCGCGGCCTCCGCGGCGGCCTTCCTCGTGGTCCCCGATCTTCCCGGCAAGGAAGTTGGCCAAGATGAAGAAGTCAAGACCCTCCCCGTTGTCGCCAAACCCAACGAAGCGCCTGGTGTATACGTGATTCCCCAGTTCGAGACCGTCAGCGTTCCCTGCGCCGAATGCAAGGGATCCTCCGACTCCCACATTAAGCTGGACTTCCAGGTCGAGAACGCTGCTCGCCTGACAGTCAACGGCTACGAACTATATCCCACCGCCGATCCTTGGCACAACGACCTTGTAGCCAGTGAAGTCGCCGATGATGGCAAGGCTGCGGACCAGACACTGGGATACGCACTGGCCGTCGCCCCTCGTGTTGAGGACCCCTTCATCGAACTCATTACTGTCGACCTTCGCATTATTGAAGTCGGCGAACTTTTCGTCGAGAAGGTTCCCGCTGTCAGAGTCAACCTCCTCAAGATGCGACAGGGCGGTGAAATCTTCCTGAACAATATTGAAATTGCCCACGTCATCGAAGTTGAGGACTCTATCGCCAGCCGTATCAAGGCTAAGTTTGCCAGCCTCTGGGGCAAGATCAAGAGCCTTGGAAAGTGCAAGCATCACAAGGGCATGCACCACAAGGGCATGGGCCATAAGGGCCACAAGGACCACAAAGGCCACAAGGGTCACAAGGAGCACAAGGACCATGAGCACCACCACGGCAAGGTTCAAGGCCACGGAGGTGATCACCATCACCATGGCCACCGCGGCTTCCGTCGTGACTGGCGCAAGCTTCTCAAGAATATCACCACCAACATTCTTCTTCCTGTCTTGACCGGTATCACCGCCGGTGTTGGTGTTGCAGTGTAAGTGATAACACATGACCCATGCCGAACCCGTTTGAATTTAACATGCTAACATCACTGTTATAGTCTCGCCATGGGTCTTTGCAGCGTTGGCGCTGTCGTCTTTGCCTCTCGCCGTAGACGCCACCGACGTTGCTCTCGCAGGAGCAAGCACGCCGCTCGTCCCCAGCCTCCCCCGGCCGATGATGAGAAGGCTCGTCTTATGGAGCATTATGAAGATCTTGAGGCCGCTCCCCCACACTACCAGGACCATCCTGCCCAGGAAGCTCAAGTAGCTCAAGAAGAAGCCTAAATGCCTTCTCTCGCTAGTCTCGCATCTTAGATTCAGCTTTCTACAGGAAAAGAACGAGACAAGCACCAAAATTACGTCACCGGAGACTGCACTCCTCCGGTGCTCAAATTCATTGTGCCGGCGGGCGTTTTGGAATTTGCAGAGAGATGACAGTGTATATTACTTATGGGTTGATGGACCATCTCGGTGCTATAAGCTTCCATCCTCATCCTCTCCTTTGCATGCTGAATTCGGTTATTTATGGCTCTGATTTTACTATACCCACATTCCTTTCAACTAGGTTTTCGTCATTAGCAGTTTGATCAAACAAATCCCAAAAAATTGGTATTTATATTTATATTCCCGTGATTTCGCTTGTCGGTGTCGTGTGTTCCGGTTGGGTCCACTCATGTTGGGACATGTATATCAGATCTTACACTTCGGGGATGGCTCAGGGCAAGCAAGGGGATAGCCGGAGAAAGTAGAACTTTATCAGAGAATCCGGACAATCCCTTCAGGTCCATGCAACATTGCCCATCATTAGGCAGTATCATGTGGGACTGTGGGGGTTTCTCCGCGCTTAGTGACTTGTCTCGCTGCACATTCCCCCGATGAAGAGGGGAAGATGATTTCGCGATAACCCGTTCCCATTCTCAGGTCCCGGGATAAAACCAGCCCAGGCCCCGTTCCAGGACGCAAGACGTAGAACGATACCTTGCTGAATTCCAGGCCCTCTGCAACTAGCCAATACCGCCGGACCTCGAGGAAATGTCGTCAACTCAGCAGGGCGTGTACCCCGGGCGCCGGTTAGCCCAGATCGTTCGGCTCAAACCCGAGTATGTAGCTGAGTACAAGGAATGCCACAGCAAGGTTTGGCCTGAGGTTTTGAAGCAGATCAAGGACTGCAATATTGAGGACTGTATGCTTGCTACGTATTCTCGGCTTGTTTTGGCGCCTGGGGTGTATAATGGCTAACAATTGGCTCGGCGGCGTCACAGACAGCATCTTCTGGGACGATAACACGGGCATCCTCTTCGCAACACTCCGATATGTTGGAAACGACTACGAGGGCGACATGGCGCGCATGGCAGCCAATCCCAAGGTGCGAGAATGGTGGAAGATGACGGATGGGTACCAGACCTCGCTGGTCCCTGGGGCCAAGAGCTCGGACTCGGAACCAGGATGGTGGAAACCGCTCGAGGAGGTGTTTTACCAGCCTTGAGTACAATCGGGAAGGAGAGGTGAAGGGCGTGCGTTCTTTGGACATGCCCAAGAAATCCAAGAGTTTTGGGATCGGGTCTTGCCCTATTGATCCTGTTGCCAAGATGCACTACCGTATGCCAGTCAATGATCTGCTGAGATGTTTCCTTGCAGGAGGGGGCCGAAATGATGAACATTCAATTGACTGATGCGCTGATCCTCGCTGAAACCGAGATCCCCACCAGCCGCAACCAGCCCCTTGCAGGTTATCGATCAGTGTTTTGCCTTGCTGGGCAGGTGTCTAGTACATGCAGAAAGCTAAAGAAGACGTTGGAAGAAATCCCAGAAAGTGATTTTGTGCTGTTCTTCATATGATGCCGATAAAACCTCCTTTTACCAGCCGGCTTTTGCAAAAGACATGATCAATTCCTATGAAGGAGACTCTTTGGTGGGGGTATAGAGCCTCTATGGATTCAATGCATAGGGCAGCCCCTGTAATGACATGCTGCTGAGATCTTCTCAGATACACTCAATGCAGGTCTGATTCTCCGACATGCTGCAAGCCATGTTTCACCTTTTTTTAACACGTTGGTGTCCATGGGCCATCAAGGGTGTCATGCAGGGTCTGAGTTGGCATTTCTGGTAATCGATTCGACCACATCACTACATCAGGATTCACATATTGCCTTGTACTTTTTGCATTGGCTACATTCGTTCCTCAACTTTTTGGGTGTTTGGTTCCAAACCAATCGTGCTATAATACTATATACATAACCGAGAATCGAAAGTGATAGATATATTTCTCACCACCGGGGCTCAAACGCTGTATATCTGTATTGGGCAAACCAAAGCTTTCCCTCGTCACACACCTCACTTAGGCGTTATAGAGCTTGGGGCCAGGAATGGGATAGGTGGGGTTCTTCTCATCGTTGTAGATGTTGTACAGAACACCGGGGTCGTTGCTCTGGTAGAGCTCAGTGGCGACGGTGCCCTCCGGGGACTTGCTGCCGCTGCCGCTGATCTTCAGGTTGATGCACTGGGGGTAGAACTGGGCGCCGCCCTGCTCGAGGCCCTCGTGGAGGGCGATGATCTCGTGGCGGAGGACGTAGTTTCCGGGCTTGATGTCGGAGGGGATCTTGACGCTGGTGCTCAGGTTGTTCTCGAAGAGCTCATCGTCCGCCCAGAAGCCGGGGTTTCCGGCGCCCGAGCCGAGCTCGATCTGACCCTTCTCCTGGATCTTGAACCACTTGAGGGAGTTCTTGTCGGCGTTGGCGCAGTCGCCGCCGCAGTCGGCGAGGTAGTTGATGACGGGGCCGTGGTGGCTGGTGGGCCATGTGTTCCAAGTCAGCTTCACGTCGGAGCCAGCAGTGACGGCGGCGCTCTTCTTGGCACTGGTAGCTCCGAGGTGGCAGCTGATATCGTTGCTCTGGAGCTCGTTGGCAGAGACGAAGCCCAGGTCGGTGGCCCAGTAGGTCCAGGCGACACTGCCCTGGTCCTCCTGCCAGGGAGCGTTGCTGGGGTTGTAGCCAACGTGAGACTGGCCATCGGCAAAAATCTTCTCGATGTAGCCGTGGGCGCTGACCGAGGCAGCGCAGGCGAGGGCGGCGATGAGGGTCTTGGTAGCCATGTCGAAGTGATGTAAGACTTAACCGGTAGGTCTTGAGATGAATAAAGTATCAGAGAAGAAATGGAATATCTTCCTGGTGAGTTTTGCAAGCAAAAGATTGACTGGATCGATCGACGATACCTGAGAAGTAAGGAATGGCTTCACACAAGGTGGAAAAGAAGGTAAGTGATGAGGGTAAGGAGAAACAAGACGAGATGCACTGGATGCCATTTTGGCCGCCTTATATACATGCAGCCTCCAGACCTTGGGGAAGACGATGGTGTACGCCACGAGTCTCAAGCATGTCTCTTGGCAAATCAAGTAATATCTAACTAAGCTTAAATGAAGCACCGGTAAAAGCACTGACAACACGGCTCGGTGTCAAGGACAGGGCCAACTGCCTTGTTTGGAAGCTGAGATGTATATCAAACCGACACACCAAGGGGCAGCCGACGGACCTTGAAACCGCCATGTGCGTTGTAAGCGCTTGATCACCAGCAAAAGAAAGAATTACAAGCCACTTTATCCCGTCCGTACACGACCCTCGCAATTTGATAGGCGGGTTCCTGCTTATTGGATGCATCAGAAACGCAGAAACGCACGGCACAGCACGGCAAATGACAGCGCCGCGCCCGACCAACTACAAACCGATAGTTCAGCCATGAAACAGAGAGGCCGCCCTCCCAAAGTACATTGCCTTCCTGAAGGCACCCGGCGATTGCGAGTCAAGACTTCTCCGCGGGTGCGCTTTCCCCGTTTCTGGCGAGGGGAGCGACGGCTGGACTTCGTTGAAACCAGGATCAGGAGGTCCGACCACCGCCACACGGATGGGCAGAGCCTAAATCCCTCCTCAGGGCTGTGGTGGCCCGGAAAAGAGCGAATCCCAATATCGAGCTGGTGTGGGAAGAAGCAAAGACTGCTGCATTCCCTGTATTTGCACGGTTTCACCTTTGCGCCGCGTGGGGTCCCTCCACCCCGCCTTGGCCTCCTAAGCTGATGAGCCTGCGGGACGCAATCCCAAGTCATCATTGATTTGAGCAATGATTGGCCTGGGGTTGGGTATTTGAAATAGCCTTTGTCCAAGCTTAATCTATGTGGGAACATCGTAAACTTGAATTTCGTAGATCATCGCTGATGCCATAGCACAACACTGAAGCAGTATAGTCGTTCCCTAACAAAGTATGCTCGATGAAGAAATAACAGCTGCATGTAAACAGCTGTAAAGAAGCATTTTGGCCACCTTAACTCAAAAAAAATTCAAAAATTCAAAAAATTCAGGGCAAACAAAACAGGAATGCCCCAAAGGCCTACCGGAAGGCTTGTCCAGACCTTGACTTCGCGACTGCAGTCAAAGTGCAGAGGACAAGTAATCTGGAGTCGTGTCATAGACGTGAAACCTTCGCTTCTTCCGAGGGAATGATGGAAAGGAATCAAAACAGTTTCCCCTCAAGCAGCGCAGTGACCAGCGTATCCTTGAAGAGGACCCCTACATATTCTCATCACTACTAACATTCACTTTCACGCATAGGGAATCTATTTCATCCCTTTTCTTAAAGAAAGGGTTGAACGGAAAGAAAATGCCAAGGCACGTGTGACATGTGATTAGGATTGGATATCTATAGCTCTTGCCCGATGATATACAGCTTTGCCTCTGCCGTGATATCGGGATCGCTGATGCCTTTTCAAATCTCCATGCTCAAGTACACCTACTTATTATATGATACCTATTGTTGAAGTTGCGATGATGACTCTAGGGAAACCGCTTCCCCGCAAAACTGTGAATCAAAGACACACTCTAAATCCATGATCAACTAGACAGCTATGGCCACGCACAAAGGTTACTTCAGTCGACGCGAGGCAGGCACGATGGAATTACGGAGAAGGTGAAGGTTATCTTCCAGTATAATTGCCTTGATAGCCCTGGAGTTCGGGACTGGTTCAATCAAAACATTGTGACAAAGCACTGAACAATTTCTTCGCATTACGGTTCCAAGCATCCAGGACACATTCCGAGTCCCATATTTCTCAATCGGCACAAACAATCATGACAACCTCTGGAATGACGCACGATGATGCTATAGATACCATCGATACATTCTTCGCGGTCCTGAACACCACCAAGGCGGAGATTGAGAAATTGGTGGCCGAAAAGAAAGGTCACCTGTACGACATCTTGGGAACCCACGCTTCCCTATCAGCAATCGAGCGCAGTGCTGCGAATCTAGGTTTACCATGGGGCCATGAAAATGCGCGTGGCCTTATGGAAGGCACCACCCAATTGAGATGCGAGAAGCAACGTTATGAAGAGGATGTTGAAAAGGTCAACGACAAGATTCGAGAGATAGATAACAGGATGAGGATCACAGTTCTCGGCGACTGGTCAGACGAATTATCACTAGAAGAGAGAGAACGCTTTATGGGTGACTCTTGGGCGCTCTTTTTCGAGGTAAAGAAGGCAGCTCATGATGGGCTTAATCTGCAAGTTAATCAGGGGCACTCGGAGTATATTTTTCACGACCAGGAAGACTCGGACTATACTTTAGGCGGCCATAGACACACAAGACGCACAAGTAACCCAAGGAATACAAGCAACCCAACCATCCCAACCATCCCAAGGAATACAAGCATCCCAAGCGATCCAAGCAACCCAACCATCCCAAGGAATACAAGCACCCCAAGCATCCCAAGGAATACAAGCACCCCAAGCAACCCAAGGAATACAAGCAACCTAAGGATTACAAGGAGCACAAGCAATACAAGCAATACAAGGAGCACAAGCAATACAAGCACCCCAAGCACCCCAAGCACCCCAAGCACCCCAAGCACCCCAAGCACCCCAAGCAACCCAAGGAATACAAGCAACCTAAGGATTACAAGGAGCACAGGCAGCCTAAGGAATATAAGTAACCCAAGCAACCCAAGCAACCCAAGTAATACAAGGATTACAAGGATCCCAAGCGATCCAAGCAACCCAAGCAACCCAGGCAACCCAGGCAACCCAGGCAATCCAGGCAATCCAGGCAACCCAGGGAGGACAAGGAGCACAAGGAACCCAAGGAACCCAAGGATTACAAGGATTACAAGGAACTCAAGGAACCCAAGGATTACAAGCAACACAAACAGCACAAACAACACAAGGAATGCAAGGAATACAAGGAATACAGGCAACACAAGGGAAACTTGAGCTTGCGGGCCATATACGATCAACCAAAGTGTCATCGTTTTCTTGAATGGAGAAGTAGATAATTGGTATTGGTAATGGCATCATCCTTCCCGTAAAAGTTGTTTCTCTTTCACCGCACTTGCCAATATCACTATGCCTCCAGCCAAGCTCCATTTGGGTGAATGAGTACCCATACTAGGACTCAGTCAACGGTACGAAAGATCATATTTGTTCTGACATGTACTCACTAGCACGAGTAAGTACCCATGCTCGAGTTGTGCGGAAGTGCCCTTTCGACATGGTAGACCTTAGAATTCTGGTGGACAATAACGACCATGGGCCACCTTCCCTACAAAAGTCACTGGGATACCGGCGAATATGTCTCGGCGAGTCTCTAGGCCAAATACATCACAAGTGAGCAAGAGTTTGAAGGTCCTCTTGGAAAGATGCTTGATGGATAGTGACCATCACCCCAAGAGGCGCAACAATACAAATCAACACAGCCGGGATGGCGATGGAAACCCTCAGAGTCCTGCGAATTGTTGAGTACAGTCCTAAATCGATTAGCTGTCAGTGGGAACGTGTCAATCACGCTCAAGCCATGGTATCGCCGGTCCAGATATTCCTCCGCAGGCGTCAAGCAACTTGGCGGATGCTGGATCCCGAATCTCCCCGTGCCTGCCTTTGTATCTGGCGGAGGTTGTGCTTCACTAGCCGCTGAGGGCAGCATCCAATACAATAAATGGGGCGGGCAAGATGAAGGGTCAAGACGAAGGAAGATAGAAAACTGGACAAAGGAAAAAAAGCCTAGAAAAATTAGCACCGGGATGGTGTTTTCCATACAAAAAAAAAACTGGACTGGCCGGATGATACCAGAATCCAACAGGCCCATCTCATTCCCTCTCTCCAATTTTCAAATTTCGGATTAACGCTTTTACATATAACTACTCCGGTGAGTGTATCATGGAATAGATCGGTGCGCCTAGCATTATTAGCTCACGAGCTACAACATATTCTTTCACCGAGGCAACCTCTATTGGGCAACAGGAATTCTATTCTTAATTAAGCGGTTTTAAGGGGCTACTTAATCTATTCCTAACTGGAATCACATCCAACAATGTGCGCAATATTCACTACTAATACAAATATCCTACCAACACTGTCCGCCCTATGCACGCAGCTTACAGAATGGCCTTGGCTAGAGAGTCGGCGTTCTGGCCAACAGTAGCGGGGGCAGTCGTGATGTCGTTGTAGTCGGCAGAGGTGAAGTAGAACCATCCAACACCGTTGCTAGCGATGGTGCTAACGTAGGAGTCGATGAGAGCCGCATTGGCCGTCGAGCCGTCGTAGGCAGTGCCGCTGAAGTTGTTCAGGATGATCGAGGCCTGGGAGGCGTAGTCCTTGGGGATGTTGGCGTCAATGGTCGTCTGGCTCTTGTACTGGGGCGCGGTTGAGCAGTTGAGGCAGCTCTCGAAGGCAACGACGATGTCGCAGATGGTGTAGAACTCTTCCGAGGCGGCGACTCCGAAGTTGCAGATGGTGGTGATGGACTCCTTGAAGGCCGAGCGGGTGTGGGTGATGACCTCGTTCATGTAGTCGAAGTCGGCGGCCACTTCGTCGAAGAAGATGCCGTGGACAGAGACATCCGAGTCGGTGTAGGATGTCCAGCCGGCGAAGGTGGTGACATCGCTCTTGACGGTCTCGAGGGCAGTGGCGGCATAGTTAGTTCGGACGTAGCCCACGGTGTTCACGTTGTCGTAGGCGTTGAGCTTCGAGATTCCGGTGATGTAGTTGACATCGCCGTTGCCTGCCTCTCCAGTTGAACCAGGTCCATTCTCTGGGTTGACGACAATCGTCCACTTGAGGTCGGGATAAGCACCGATAGCACTGAACACTGGGTTCCAATTGGCGGCTCCGTCCTGCCACTCAGCCGAAGGGTAGACGTAGAGAGGAAGGAGAAGGCCAGTGGCAGAAGCCATGGAAGTTACGCTAGCAAGCGTGGCAGTTGAGGCGAGGAAACGCATTTTGATGAGAGAATAGGCAAGGTATGGAGTTCAAAGAGTGTCAGAGGAGTGACGAGGATATATGCCAATCTGGTTTTGAAGACTGGAATGTGATAGAATGAACCTGAAGAGTCAAACTGAACCAACAGTCAATCCACGGCAGCCCATCTATTGTTATATACAAGAAGCATTTCTCTCTACCTCCCCTCAGTAAGACATCAATCATCCCTTGGAGCCAAATGCCGGCGAACGCGCAATATGTGCCGGGCCCTGAAACGTTGAGCAAGGCTTCTACAATGAATGCCATGTCCCCAGAATAGGATTCTTTGATAGCACCGAGGCCATGTTTAATCCCGACCCCTGGTGAAGGAATCTGTTGACGGTACATAATCCACCGCAACAGGCATTCAGGGCAGCATCCAACCAACCCCCTTTGGGGGTTGCTTATGGTGACAAGGATCACATCTGGCCTAGTCGGCAGATGACGCTGACGAAACGGGTTTCTTCTGTAACGCACTGCGCAAAGAATGCACTGAAGAGGAAGTTATGTTTTCATCAGTTGCAGACAAAGGCTTCAAGTCTCAACCTCGCCGACGTTTTGAGGGCGGGGAGGGAGTCGGAGGAAATGCAATAAGAATCTCTGTAATCAATTGGTCACCTTTCGAAAACAAGGGTGTGTATATACTCATCCATATTTTTCTTATTGCCATACAAGAATCGGTTTTCATCCCATCTAGGTCACATTTGCGACAAATCAAACCCGCTGCCCCGCCGTCATGACCACATTTCCCAACGGTTTTTGCTAGGAGCAGTTAACGTTTTGTCCGAACCTGGATCAATCGCGTGGCCAAACGCATCCATAGACTCCACAGCCAGGATTGAATCCACTTTACTCCAGGCCATCCGCAAACCTGGAAACTCAACACGCGTCAAGTGCCGAAGGGAGGTTCTGTCTTGGAAGGCATCTTATCTACCGACCAATAACAGGCTCTCAAGGCTGAAAGGCTGAAAGGTTGGATGGCCAACTGGAATTATTCGCGCGAGAACAATGGCTTTCGGGTGCCATGTTTCCTGCCATGCATACGTGCTGAGTTGTTTTGCAGTGAGAACACTTCCGCCACGATGCTCTCTCATCCATCTCACCAAGCATAGCCTTCAAACGCAAACCCTCCCCCGCTGCGCTTAAACTCCTCTCTTTGGGAGCTAAACATGCGATAAAACCACGTCGGTTCCAGAATAATTGTATTCCGGCAATTACTATCTTGAGAGTGCACAACAGGGATGACGAAGCTTGCCAGGGAGGAGTCACCACCTTCCTACTTGGCTTTGGATTACAGTCACATGATCACGCTCATCTCTAACTGCTTTTGCTATCGAAAAAAATCATGATAGCTTAGGCGAGTTGAGCAACACAGTCCTAGCTCCGAGTTGAGTTTTCAAGCACCGGCGGCTATTTTACGTGACAGTTGTATGTGAAGTTGAATCAAGCAGCGGATAGTATTGGTAAGCGGAGCCTGTTACATCACAGTAGCAGGCGGCTCTACTTTGCTAGCTGCATGCCGATCATCAAGAAGGGTGTCCCGGAATTCATGCAACTCTGTAACCTACCCTATGCCAAGCTTCTGGGCTGGTGACTTTGGGCGCCTCGAGAGGAGACTGGTGATTTAGTTTGAAACAAACACCGAGAAATGATCTTGGAGAAGAAAAAGAAAAACCATGCTGTGAGCTCACATGCTCAGATGTGTGAGGTGGAGGGGTAAAAGGTTCATGCGAAGTTGTCACGTTTATGTATGCTCTCTAAAGTTGAACTTGCATCAACAACACATGGCGATGAATGATTTGGCTAACGATGATAGAACAACTACGTCACGCAATATGGGGCAATGCGCCTGCCCTTGATTACCACGTCGTTATCGGTAGAATAGGCCGCACGCATTCAAAGAAGGTTTCTCGTGTTGAGGTGATGCCCCTGCGGCGGCGTAGGTCCAAAGGAACATGATGAAATTAAGGGTCTGGTTAGTACGCCTCAAGATTATACATCTAAACCTTAGCTTGTTCAATCCGTGGGTGCGGAACAAAGCCCATTTATTATTAGACCGCAACGGCTGAAGCTTAATTAATCTTTCGCTCCATGCCATGGTGGGAACAGTGGCGACTGGGCAAGCTGAGTCGAAGATGGGTAAAAGGAACGACAGTTGACAGGAGACCCCCCCAAAAAGAATATGCAGAGGCTTTATGCAGAAGATGGGTGCGTCTGTGCTGGCACTGGCTTTTGTGATGATGGCACAGATCCCCCCTCCCAGGCAAATGGTCGTATGGCATGGTTCATGGTGAAACGGCGAGCCTGTCGCCAGGGACCCCTCATTTGTGGGCTGTGATTTGACGCAGGAGCTCTGCACTAGTGTTTCTGGTTGCGGGCTAGATGCCAAGGGTATGTACTGGAAACAGAGCTAGCATCGGATGAGCTTCTTCGAATTCGTTGCGTGATGCTTGCTAGCATGGAGCCTAGTTTGGACTGTCTATTCGTAGAATGTGTGCGGATGCAGACCGTTGGATGGACTGTGCCTCACTTCCCCGTGGCAAATGTGCCATTTCTATCGTCGCTATGGATCGCGTTCGCATTGACTCTCCATTCGCGTACGGCTCGTCGCATCAATTGATGATGCCCTTGGGTTGCCCGGCTGGCAGCCTTGTCTGGTGGTACACGTGTGCGCTGCCAGCAGCACATGAATTTGTGCTGCAGCTCATGCCGATCGATGCAGGTCCTTGCAATGTGTGGCCGTCTGAGCGCACAGCGACATTCACGTCAATGCGCTCAGCCGGCGGAACAGCTGCCAGTGATTGGACGGCTTCGCTGCCTCGAGGCTTGCTGGGAAAGGGCTGTCGTCCAATTGAGGGAAATTGTGTAGGCACAATGACGAATGCTCACCTCACTATCGATGCCAGGAGGAAAGCCATGGACAAGCACGGCACGCACCAGGCTACCCTGCCTAAGCCAGCCTGCTCGCTGTGGCATCTCACCTACTGAGCAAGTATCTCTCACCTGGGTACCTCCCTAATCTGGGCCAGTACATCGCTCGGAGTCGCACCTTCCAACGTATGACATACGAGGTGGTACCTGGGTGATTGAAGAAATCTCGCTCAGCAGAGGCCGTCGCCCAGAGCCCCCGTAGAGCAGGTATCCCCAACCCATGGAGCCTCTGAGGCCGCCGTGCCGTTCTACTCACCCCCGCCTCTCTCATCCACCGCACCGTAGTGCCCGCACGACCCTTCCTGGTCTCTGCCTCCATCGAACCCTGTCCCCGCCCAGGTCTTCGGGCAGACCCCAGTCACCTCGAGCTGCTGTGCGACTCGGTCCAAGGAGCCCTCTCTCCCGCCATTCTGGGCTGGCCCAGGCTGTTCCGTTAGCAAGGTACTATTGCATGTTTGGCATTGCTCCCCGTAATTAAGTATCCTCCAGGGACCTCTGGCCTGTTTTATCCTCGGCGCCGACCATCACCTCTACTTGAGAGGTACTTCGTACCACACCGGGACTCCCTGCCCAGGCAGGGACCAGCAATGTCCTTCTCGTGTACTCGCCTCCGATCCCCTTCCTGCTAGGCCCAATCGCCAGGTTCCTTCTCTCTTTCTCTCTTTCTCCCTCCTCTCTTTTCGCTTCCCATTGAGCCTCACTCCGCTCGCTGTCATTCGTTTTTCCTTTTCTGTCCGTACCGAGGGCTACGCTGGCGACTACTCTGGTTGTGTGTGGTCTGGATCGTGAGTTAGCCTCAACCGCCACTTCCTTTGTTCAACTCGTCCTTGGTCCAATAGTACTATCGCCTACCTGGTAAATGCCCCGGTGCCTAACCTAAGCCGCCAGCCGACCTTCGTTTCCCGCGAAAGAGCATCTCGCCCGAGTCCTGCAGCTACCTGCTTGGCTGCTTACCCTTCACGGAAGGCCCCTCACACCCTCTTTTTCCCTCGACAGTCTCGATTTCCTCGCCCATTTCTTCCTTTTTCAACAAGTCGTTCAGTGAACGACTGCCTTTCTGGTTGCGATTTGGACCTTGCGGTTGAGCCGCGACACCCAATCCTGTGAATTCGCAACCCGGCCCCCAATTCTTGGTCTCTGGATAGCCCAATCAACAAGCCACCCCCAATCCGCCTCACCACTCTGACTTTGAGCCAGCTCTCAGTCTTCTCGACCCTCTGGAAATCTGCCGTCTGTATGCGCTTTTGGAACGCCTTTGAAGCGCCGGCCCTGAACTCGCTCTCCGTGGGACAACGCATACAGCATACCTCGACGTAGCACTCTGTTACACGTCGTCGCATCCTCAACGGCTACCACACCTCCGCGCCAAACGGCCCGTGTTGTCGCCCCTCACCGTATTTTTTCTTTCCTTTTGCGACCTCTTCACGGGTGATTCGTTTCTTGCTTTGTTGTGGTTGAACCTCGACATTATTTTATCAGCGGCGGATAGGAGCCAAACCCAGGACATCGATGCGCTCGACCCAGCGCCCCAGCCTTCTCCGCCAGCTGAAACCGTCTTGAAGTTGTTGAAGGTGCAGTGTTCCATTTTCCCGGCTTTCCCGGTCTCGCAAAGACTCGTCTCTTGTAAGTGATTCAAATATTTTTGGCCCCCAATGACATCCCGCATAATGGCTCGTATACCTTTTTGCCCGATAGTATAATTTTACTTGCCAAGTTGTGTTGATTGCTTCGCAAATCGTCACTATCTGACCAAGCGATTTTTCTCTCTAATTCCAATCTCCTACTCCTCTATCTCTGTCCTTGCATGCACTGCCGATTTCAACTTTTCAGCCTCACGGAAACTGACAAGTGACCAGGGATCTTATATTTTCGTCGATTATCATTCCATATACGTTATCTCAGACAGCTAGGGAAGAGCAGCTCTACCCATTTCTCCTTGGATCTTGTCTTTTTTTGTCAAGTCTCTCTCCTCTTTCTTTCTTGTTTCCTTTGCGCCTGTTGATTTTGGTCCACAACTTTTGGGGTTCTCGAAGGTCGCTCCCACAGAGTTATCGACCAACGGATTGCAGAGCCTGCATGCCAGTGAGCGCCCTGGTAGATTGGAGACGTCAACCTCTTGGTAGGAAACGAAGCAGAAATTCGGCGACTTTGACATCGACTCTTGGATGAGCCAACCGCAGTATGGGCGAGACATGGAACGATCATCAGGATCTGTTAAGCGCGCGCGCGAGAGAATACAGGCATCCGGCCGGGTGCCTGCGCCTCGTCGAGCGCACCACAATATAGCTGGCGAGGATGATTCAGCAGGAAACTTGAATCCTGCCCCCCGACATCATTTGCTTCCTTCAAATCCACCGCCGCCTCCTCCTCCCGACCCCCAGTCACCACGTAGTCCTCAGCAGCGTGGCGCAGGTGGCTCAGAAAGTACGACCCGCGGTGCGATGCCGAGGCCATCGCAATCTCCTCAGTGGCCGCTATCGCCCAGTTCCCCCCTGGCTGCAGAAATCTCACCTACGGCACATCGCACCCAGAACCCTGCCTCGGGTCGGCAGAAACCGAGGCGATCACCGCCTAGCTCGGAAACGCCTGATGATCAGGAGCAAATTCCTGTCTTCTTGGAACTTCAGGATGGCGAAGAAGGCCGCAAAGGATTGGCTGACGACTCTCAGCCCCCGAGCTCCGCTAATCCTTCAGGCCGACACAAATCCCCGTCAGCCGGGTCAATACCTCAATTTCCAGAGCCCTCAAGTTCCGCGGTACCACCAGTTCCTCCAAAGCGGAGCTTAAATCTCGGCCCTCCCCCTTCAAGCCGACGAGGGGCATCTTCGTATTATTCACACAACTCATTCGTCTCGCCTATTCCAGAGGAGAACTCTCGGTCAGTAGGTTCATATGCATCAAGCGCAGCAATTCCGAAACGTGATTCTTGGGGGTCTATTTCCCCTCTCAGCAGCCCGATAGAGGGGGATGGCAACGGATTCTATGAGGCATCTGTGAAGAGCAAGGATTCGGGACTGGATGAATTGACCGACGAAAGCAAATTAGTCCGCAGTGCAAGTATAGGGAAAAAGGGGAAAGCTTCCTTGGTGGACAACAAGCGCACGCCATCAGTTCGCTCGGCCTCGGTTGGATCAATTCTGATTGCTCGTCCATCGCCAACACCTGTACAAATGCCGTTTGGTGAAGGCACTGGTTATGTGGATACCTCTACAAGCTCATCGGACAACACACTCCACCTTAAGAAGGTGCTGGCATCCAATCCTGAGGTACATAAGGCTACGGGTAAGGCTGGTCCTCCGGAATCTAGATCGGATGTCCCTACCGGCCATATGCCATCGCCGAGGATGGCAATTCCAGGCCAATCTGCTGCATCAGGGCGCCTTCCCGGCATCAGACGACCGCCGAGACTCGATATCGATGCAGTACGAGATATGGAAGCTCGAGGCAGTCTAACGAGCCTGCCTGATTTAATCCAGAGAGCTACAAGGCTGGCTGCGATGATTGATAAAGGGAAGCGTCCTGCAAGCCGATTTGATTTGAACGACTATTCTGTCTCGGATGTGCCAAGCGGATCAGGTAAGCTTGTCAAATTCCTTCCGTCAACTTTCCAGTGTCGATACTAATGCCGGGACTTAGGTAATGGCCGTGTGCAGTCGGGTCTCTCGGATATGCTCGCAGCCTTTCCACCACCTGCCCAGCCTACTCCGACAGGCGGGCAAAGCCGTGGCTCTTGGTTCCGACATACAGCGTGGCCAAAGGTCGAAACACAAGGTCAGACACATGATGCGAATGACCAATCGGGCAAGGGCGAGCACGCTGAAAAAGTGCCACCCAGAACAGCAGCCAGGCGTTGCTGCGGCATGCCTCCATGGCTGTTTGTGCTTGTTGTGCTGCTTCTCATTGCCGTGGTGGCCGTGGCTATAATTATCCCGTTGGAATTTTTTGTCTTCAAGAATTTGGGTAACCACCAAACACCCGAGGCGAGCTTGGACAAGTGCAAATCAGAGCTTCCCTGTCTAAATGGGGGTACTAATGTCTTCAATGATAACGTGTGCTCTTGTCTTTGCACGAATGGTTACACCGGCCACAACTGCTCAACCGCAGGATCCGAAGGCTGCACAACGACCAACCTCGTATCATCGTCATCGTCCTCAACAATCGAAAACGTGACTCTCGGTACTGCGATCCCCCGTCTGATTCTTGATTCTAATACGAATTTCACGATCCCTCTGTCTGGAACGTCAATTCTTGCTAAAATCAACTCCGGAGACTTGTCTTGCAGAACCCAAAACGCCTTGGTCACTTTCCAAGGACGGTCAACTCGCACGGGCGACGACTCGGTGTCAATCACAAATATCAGCGCTGACACGAACTCGAACGAGCGTCGCGAGGAGTCCGAAACAGCTACAGTAACAACAACCGCTCGAGCCGGGAATTCACTCGTCGTCACGGCCTCGATTCCTATACCCACCAAAACTGCTACCATTCAGCCGACTCTCAAGAGTGACTTGTTCAACTTGACTGAGGACACTCTTGATTTTGCCCGTGTTGCGGTTCTCTATGTTCTGCAGGAACAGAACGCGACCACGGCTGTCAACGCGCAGTCATATCTTCAGCGTTTCTTCACAAGAGCAAGCAGTACTGAGATCAGTGTCAGTTATGCTACCCAGTCTGAAGCTCGAAAGGTGGACATAGGGGCAAATAGCACAATTAACTTGGTGGACTTTCGATTGAACCTTGGAAAGGGGTCTGTTGGAAACTGACGACCTTGAGAAATGAGTTTATTTGTGTTGGGATTATGAACGGGTGAAGGACCGACCCCATGTATCGATGGGATGGGTCCATGTTCCCCTTAATGACAAGACGACATGAGAATATTTCTTGGGGCCAATATACTTGACCAAGAAGCATGTTGTGTTTATTTTTCTTATGGCAGGGCAGATACAGAATCTTGTATATACATTTAGACAAAACGTCTTTAGTTACATATGCACAGCTCCTACGAGTTGTACGAAAGGACTGAGTAATAATGAAGAACATACAACCATATCATGTGCCAAGAACAACATAAAGGAGCTGGGACTTGGGGATATGCATGATAGGGTACTACATGGGATGGGCATGCACATTAAAAAGCGAATGGCTGGCTCTGCAATCATATCTAGTGCAGAACAGGAACCGGAAGCAATTTTCCAAACGCCCTGTTCAATTCATTCATTATATCCTGTACATTACATTCTAAAAACACCGAATTTTGTTTCACCCGGTTTCACTTCGTTACGACCACCTAGCGCGGCTTGTAAGCCTAGGCCAAGATACTTTCTTGTGTGTTGAGGAGGGATAATGCCATCATCCTAGAGCGAGTGGTTAGCATATTGTTCACAGCCAGACAACTACGACCATCCCTGTGTGCAAGACAGAAGAGCTAGAGAGACAGGAACTTACCCATAAGCGAGCAGACGAGAACGTGGCATCGCTCTCGCGGTCGATGCGGTCCCTCAGCTCGGGGTCGGCCTTCTTGCCGACCGTCTCCATGACGGCGGCGAGCTGCTCGCCGCCCATGACGCCGATGCGGGCGTTGGGCCACATCCAGAGGAAGCGGGGGCTGTAGGCGCGGCCGCACATGCCGTAGTTGCCGGCGCCGTAGGAGCCGCCGACGACGACGGTGAACTTGGGGACGTCGGCGCAGGCGACGGCGGTGACGAGCTTGGCGCCGTGCTTGGCGATGCCCTCGCGCTCGGCCTGGGAGCCGACCATGAAGCCGGAGATGTTCTGGAGGAAGACGAGGGGGATGGCGCGCTGGGCGCAGAGCTCGATGAAGTGGGCGCCCTTTTGGGCGGAGGAGGGGAAGAGGATGCCGTCGTTGGCGACGATGCCGACCTTGTGGCCGTAGATGGAGGCGAAGCCGGTGACGAGGGTGGTGCCGAAGTCGCGCTTGAACTCGGAGAAGTGGGAGCCGTCGACGACGCGGGCGATGACCTCGCGGATGGGCATGGGCTTCCGGAGGTTGGTCGTGGCGATGCCGAGGAGCTCCTCGGGGTCGAAGAGGGGCTCGGAGAAGGTTGGGCTGGGGCCGGGCGTCGAAGAGGAGGCTGGGGGGGAGAAGGAGGTCGCACTGGGCCAGTTGAGGTTGCTGACGGAGCGGCGGGCGAGGGTGAGGGCGTGGGCGTCGTCGACGGCGAGGTAGTCGGTGACGCCGGACACGGAGGAGTGCATCTTGCCGCCGCCCAGGTCCTCGGCGCTGATCTCCTCTCCCGTGGCGGCCTTGACGAGGGGCGGGCCGGCGAGGAAGATGTGGCCCTGCTCGCCCACGATGATGCTCTCGTCGCTCATGGCGGGGACGTAGGCGCCTCCGGCGGTGCAGGGGCCCATGACGACAGAGATCTGGGGAATACCCTGGGCGGACATGCGGGCCTGGTTGTAGAAGATGCGGCCGAAGTGGTCGCGGTCGGGGAAGACATCGGCTTGGTGAGGGAGGTTGGCACCTCCGCTGTCAACGAGGTAGATGCAGCTGTTTGTCAATTGATCTTGTTAGTTTCAGTATTGGAAAAGCAGTCGATGGTGGAGATGACGTACGGGAGTTTGTTTTCTTGAGCGACTGTCTGTGCTCGAAGATGCTTCTTGACAGTAATGGGGTAGTATGTCCCTCCCTTGACAGTGCTGTCGTTTGCGACAATCATGCAGGAGACGCCCTCCACGACACCAATTCCGGCAATGATGCCACCGGCCGGTACCTCTGCCTCTGGGTAGAGCTCGTGGCCAGCCATGGGGGCCAGCTCGAGGAAGGTCGTGCCGGGGTCGATCAGAGCAGTGACTCTGTCGCGAGGGAGCATCTTCTTGCGCTGGAGGTGCTTCTGCCTGGCCTTCTCGGGCCCGCCCTTCTGGATCTGCTGGGAGAGGGTCTCGATCCTCGCCATGACGGCAGCCATGCTCCTCTCATTCTCCCTGAACTCCTCTGACGTGGGGTCGACATTGCTCTGTATGCGCGTAATTGCAGCTGCCTGGTGGGTGTGCGTGAGGTTGGCGACGGTGCGGCGACTGCCGGCGAGCTGCTGCTGGAATCGTGGTTGCCGAGGCTGGAGCTGTAGCTGGTGGTGGGATGCGAATTGGCAGCGCAGGCGCAGTGCCGTGCGTGACGACCTGGACAGCGACATGGCGATGGCGACGGTATGATCTGGACTGCGTTGCACTGCCGGGGCCGAAGAGACGAGGAGAGGACAGGCTGTGGCTGGAATGCGTGCGGACAGCAGGTGTAAGTAACAAACCTTGGAGTAGGCGACTCCGATGGCTCTGTAGTGTTTGAGTGTGCCTCTGGTTTAGGCCGAGATAGACCCCGGTTCTGAGCTAAAAGGCACCCAAAACCTGGGGTTGCCGCGCCGGCGCAAGCCGTGCTGAGCCGAGCCCTTCAGCTACGTAATGGCCCAGTTCTGGACTGTCATCTTCAGCCTTTCCTGGCCGTCGTGGACCGACGAACACTGCATTTATGCCGAGGCCCTCAAATCTGCTATCAGCGTAACTTGCCGCCGTCGATTGGGTCCCTGTCGGTCGGGATTTTTTGACTTTTGTATATTTCCAGGCTATTCAACTAGGCCACCTCCTTCCCTTCTCTTATTTATTTATTCCTTGATTTTTTGACGCCCACGCTCAACACGCATCTGTAGGATTCACATTTGCCGCATATGCAACTCCCCATGCAGAAGTGATTGATCACTATTTCTGCCACCGCCACAGATCTACACACGAGCCTCTTCTACCATGGCTACAAGTCTGAGGACCTTTAGAGTCCTCGCTCGCCCGGCGACGAGATGCTGCAACCGCGCCACAGTTTCAATCCCCGCCATTAGCCTTCACTCAAGACACCACTCCTCCAAGCACCCCGCGGGCTTCGAGCCCCCGACGTCCGATGATCTTTCTGAATTGCGAGAACGTGTGCAGGATTTTACCCGCCGCGAGATTCCCGAGGAATTGGCAGCTCACACAGATAAGACCAATGCGTTCCCCAACGAGATGTGGAAGAAGATGGGAGACGCCGGCCTGCTGGGCATCACCGCCGACGAGGAGGTCGGCGGGCTCGGAATGGGATACCAGGCGCACTGCACAGTCATGGAGGAGATCTCCCGGGCGTCCGGAAGCATAGGACTGAGCTACGCGGCCCACTCGCAGCTGTGCGTCAACCAGCTCCAGCTCAACGGGTCGCCGGAGCAGAAGCGCAAGTACTTGCCAGGGCTCATCTCGGGCGACCTGGTGGGCGCCCTGGCCATGTCCGAGTCCGGGGCTGGCAGCGACGTGGTGAGCATGCGCACCACGGCCAAGAAGGTGGACGGCGGCTACGTCCTCAACGGCAGCAAGATGTGGATCACCAACGGGCCCGACGCCCACCTCATCGTCGTCTACGCAAAGACGGAGCCCGACAAGGGCTCCAGGGGCATCACGGCGTTCCTCGTCCAGACAGACTACAAGGGCTTCAGCTGCGCCCGGAAGCTGGACAAGATGGGCATGCGGGGCAGCAACACGGGGGAGCTCATGTTCGACTCCGTCTTCGTCCCGGACGAGAACGTCATGGGCGACGTCAACGGAGGGGTCAGAGTCCTCATGGAGGGCCTGGACCTGGAGCGCCTCGTGCTGAGCTCCGGGCCCCTGGGCATCATGCAGGCGGCCCTCGACGTCGCCCTCCCGTTCACGCACCAGCGCAAGCAGTTCGACCAGCCCATCGCGCACAACCAGCTCGTGCAGGGCCGGCTGGCGGACATGTACACCAAGCTGCAGGCCTCGAGATCCTACACGTACACGACGGCCAAGGCGGTGGACGAGCAAGGGCTGATCCGCACGCAGGACTGCGCGGGTGCCATCCTGTACGCGGCCGAGCGGGCGACGGAGTGCACGCTGGACGCGATCCAGCTGCTGGGCGGGATGGGCTACATGGAGGAGATGCCGGTGTCACGGCTGCTTCGGGAGTAAGTACAATCGTCCCCAGTTTGAGTCTTGACCGACCTCCAGATCACCGGACCCCGGGATTGCCGGCCGGGTCGGCGACTTTGAGACACTGCGTTTCTTGTGTGAGCGGGCGAGATGATATGAAAGTGGCTGACCTCGTCTTTTCTTTAGCGCGAAACTCTATGAGATTGGGGCAGGAACATCGGAGATTAGGAGGATGGTGATTGGGCGGGCGTTCAATAAGGAGTATGCCAATGCTTGAAGAGAACGAACGGCATTATACAATGGCTGAAAGGGGGATTGTCGAGGAATGGGCGTTTGATGGGCATGTATCCACATGACTCGGGACGCGAGACTAGCGGACGGGAGATTATACAGGTTGCCACATAGGTCACGACATATCCAGAGAGGTATGGGCGGTGTGGCGGGGGTCAGTAACGATCATGGCCGATTTGAACGTTTCTACTATTAGATTTGTACACTACAAATGAGCGCGCAGGAGTTACGACTGGGCAGATGCATAACATGTCAAACCAATAATTGCGACCACTTTTCCCATCGCCACCCAGTGGGACTCTTCGTGAGGCTTTAAAAAAGAAAAAGAGGGACATCTCAGAGGGGCGTTGCGTGGATTATCGTGAAGCCAAAAACGGACTGGGTCGTGGTGTTGAGGAAAGTCTGAGCATCAGGCAACAGCAAAAAAAGGAGTGAAAATTATTCAGATCACGAGACCGGAGAAAAAAACTAAACTACAGCCCGCATCTGCGACGTACAGCGCTTCCCTGTCGCGATGCATGTCTCATGTATGTAGGTGTCCCGGAACCCCCTG